TTTATAGGAATCATCTGCTACAACTGGAGTTTTTCAGCTGCTTTTTTTTATAGCTTACTGCTTTATTCCCCCCGTTCTGAGAAAGTGAGACTTGCTGGCCGCATTTTTCCAAACTCACTTCATGTCTTGGATATAATGGATGAATATAATATTTTCTTTTCATACTAGTTCTGAATTTGTCTAAGAGGCAAGGAGCTGCCTTTATTTTTCTTTGGATCTTTCTTATTTTTCATCTGACTTCTTGCACTTCATCATTGGCATCTRCAGTGTAGGAAGGCACTTCTATGTCAGGCTTAGCAGCAAATCACCTCTAAAAAAATCCACCCTCTGGTTGGTGTCTTAGGCAAGTCTGGCTTTACAAAGCCATTACCATGCTGAGCTTGTGCTGTTTTTCTTAACGTGTGGTCTGTTACTTCTGCCTGTTGACAAAACAGGTGATGACAAATTTGCACCTGCCAAAGCCAAATTCATTCTGCAGAGTTGGAGGTGATCTTCATTGCATGTTTTTGCACATAGCCTGGAAAGAGTATTGCTTCTTTGAGAAGGGCAGAGTTAAACATGAGTTTGGAAAGATGGCAGGAGAAATGACTCAAGATGCACTACCAAATGGTGGTAGTGCAATCACAGAGCCACAAACCCCACAAATTGTAAAGAGAACAAAACCTGGAAGCTATAGCTGTGATAGATCAACAGAATGTGGACAAATGATGTGAAAGTGCCCTGCAATCTTGGAAAACACGCTTACTTCTTTCCCTCACGTGCATCTACGTGCTTTGTTTGAGCTGTATGAGGCTGTTGTGCAGAGATAGCTCTGACTGCCTATCAAAGCAGTCTGAAATCCACAGCAGAAACGATCTTCGCTTCTTGCAAGTAAAGTAAATGTTCAGTTTTCCTGTTGCAGTGAAACAGTCGCAGGCAGCTGAGTTGCAGGTGTGCACTGCCTGCCCACTCTTGCCTAGCCCTGAGTGTGTCTGCAGCCTGCGCACCCCAAAGGCAACAACACAGCCTGTGCTGCACTCAGCAATACCACTATTAGTATTTGGATGGATGTCTAGGGAAAGCCCACATATACTTTAGCGATTAAATGTGTGTTGAGCTTGAATGGAGGCAGTCATTGCAAGGCTTCTCTGGTCAAGGATCTGTTAATGTTCAACAAAAATTTCCCTTCCTTTTCACAGATTTGCACCACAGAAGTGGAAGTTCTCATGACCCGTCTCCACCACACCTTCAGACAGGAGCTGAGTGGGGTTGGGGCAAGCCTTGAGAAAAGATGGAAATTTTGTGGCTTTGATGAATTGAAAATGACCTGAGCTTCAGCCTGACTGATCTTTACACTGAAAACAACAGCAGAACATGTGCATCACGAAAACYTAGGATGCCTCTTACCTCTCTTTTCATGGCAATTCCCTTGCACACATCACAGACTCTGGTGGAATTGTCTGCAAGTGAACTCGCAAGGGCAGAGCTGCACCTGGAAGAACCTCCAAGGGCTGCAGCTTCACTGATCACTTATTTTGTTAATGATCAAGTGCAGTCTGATATATTTTGTGGACAAAGTTCCTGTCTGCTATTTTTAAACACAGCGTATTGAGCTATATGTTTTGCCAATGTGTATGTGTTTTGTGTGCCCAAACTTCTCCTTCTCCTCCTYCTCCTCCTGTACCTTGTTTTTACTAGTAAGACAATAGACTGTTCTTTGAAGCAGCAGCAGAGAGATGTTTACTGATTTCTAAAACCACCAAAAGTGGAAAAATAACTTTTTTCTTTTCTTTTAGACATTTATATGATTAAAAACTGAACTCTGTTTAAACGGAAAAAAAAGAAAGATTTAGGTGACTCAAAGTCTCTCTGAGCCTAACAACCAGTCCTTTTCACACTATTTTTCTCTACTAATGTTTTAACAGTTAGGCTAACAGGAAGGCAGTGTCCCTATGAGCGGCATGGGGTTATGGTGGTGCCTCTTTGCATCTGTGCATTGCAGAAGCAGTCTGTAAATAATCTTTTACATGGGAAGGGTATTTAATTTTCTACTGAGCTATGTGGGGTGGAGGGCCTGCTTGAGATCTGTCTTTTGCTAATGGCTTCTTCTGGCTTACTGTCAAGTTTTTACACCCACTTTGCTTTTTAGAAGTGTTGGAGGCAGCACGAGCTTTTTGCCTCCTGAAGCTCCCAAAGGCTTTTCTTCGTGTCCTTGGTAAACTCCAGGGTCTCCAATCCTGTGCAGAAGGTTAGTAAGATCTGGGCTAAATATTTTTTAAAAACAGATAAAAACAACCAAAAAACCCCACCTCTATCTTCCCAGGACTCTGGGCATAGATASCTCCTGGAGCTGGAGCAGCTAACAAGGGAGCTGGGCACAGGGTGTTCCAGTGCAGGCAGTGGGAATGGGAAACCAAACCCTTTGGTGTGGGACCTGCCTGCCAACTCCTGACATGGAAGGATTGCTACACTGGAAGCAGCTGTAAACCCTTTTAAAGAAATCTGTGAATATTTGTGTCACTGCAGCTGGACATTGTATTTTTAAGGAATAAACATTCTTTTTTCTTTTCTCTTTAATGTACAAGTCTTGTCCTTGCTMCTTTCTTTTTCTCATCCAAGTTGTGTTGCCTGCTCTTGAGAAGGAGGGTGACTCCGTTGCAAGGTGAACTAAGTTCTCCGAGAACCAGGAGCTTCGCTGTCCTTGTGGCAGACCTCTGCTCTTCACTCGCTACCTCATGGCATGTCTAGATGTCAGACATCCTGCTCTGCACGTCCTAGTCTGCTGCTCCTCAAGAAGACCAGTCATCTTTGTCAAACCTTTCAGTCCTGCTCAGTTTTAGATGCAAGGCTCTCCACTCTGGAAAGCTGCAGGTGTTGACTCGTAGAGGTGTTGGGGTTCATCTTTCTGCTCTGTGAGGCTCTGAGCCTCATTCCTCAAAAAATCTAGCTCCTATCAGGCAGGAGGGCAACTACAGCTGCTCGGAAGAAGAGCAAAGATCTGCTGGCAGCAAACTGAAATAGCAGAAGAAAGGCTTAGAACTATCTCCTAGCTGGAAGGGGGAAGATAATGGTGTGGCACAACAGAGCCTCACTCATACCAAAAGGCAACCAGGCCACCAGCACTTGAATTGATGAAAGCTGTAGGAAGATTTAGAAAGTACAGACTGCAACACAGACTTCATGTACAAAGTGCACAGGACTTCATGTACAAAGTGTGGTCTAGAGAAAAGATAGCACCAAAACTGAGCTTAGGAAATAATGTTTGGATCCAGTACATGTCCATGGGGAGCTAGAAATCGAGTTGGCCTGAGTGYTTCCATACCTGCAGTTGCTCCTGGCACAGAACTGAGGAGTCCCGGAGGAGGAGCCGTGCTGGTACAGCGCTGCCATGAGAGAGCAAAATCGTTGCACTGCTCAGCTCTCAGCAGTTGGGAAGGAGGATTTGAACCTGATGGAAGATGTATAGCTCTTCCCTGGGTGGTTTGCAGGAAAGGACTTTTAGGATTTGTGTAATCCTAGAAGAGAGCTCACAGGTATGCAGACTCCTCCTATACTGAAGCACTTAATACCTCAGCCATCAACAAGTGCAAACTTGTTTTTCCTGGGGCAACGGTTTAGGCAGCTTCTGCACTCTTGCCCTTTAAGTCCTTAACTGTTTCCATGGAAGGAAGGTGCTTAATTATCTAATGTTACCTAATCTTGAAATCCCTGTTACTCAGAAGAAGCAGGCTTGAACCCTCATGTGCTTGGGGAGAGTCCAGAATCAGACCTTGCTGCCAGCTGAGAGATGACCACTCTGCCACCAGTGGCCAATGCTGACCGCTGCCCAGGGCAGCTGGACTTCAGAAACCCTTCTCTGACTTTTTCAGGTCTACAATATAGCTCTAAGGTGAGACCTGGAGCTGCACGTAGCAGTTGAGATATGGGGAGAGGGTGAATTTTTGCCGTGGCAGAATGACGTTCTCCCTTTGGGTGCACGAGGGCTGTCTTCATACTGGTGACAAAATGCCTGGCTGCGTGGGGATGATAGAGAGACAAGAGAAAGAAGAATAGGGGGTAGAGAGCAGCCTAGGAGCTGTGCCCAATGATTCTGCCTTGTGGAGCAAATGTATGGCATTTATGCAAAAATCTGGAAGTAGGCACATTTCAGCAGTATTCCCAAATATTCATGCAGCGAGTGGGTCAGGACAAACAGATAAAAGTGCTCCCTCTGTATATTGCTGCTAATATTCTATTAAGCAGACACTGAATTCAAGGTCTGTGACCCTCCTTCCCTCTTCTTCAAAGCAAATGGTATTTGCAAATTATGGCGGTATTTGGCTTGAAGGTCAAGAAAAACGTTGTGTGTTTAAGGGGAGCCAAGAGGTGTGTCAGGGCTCCGGCTGGGTTTTGCAAGTAGCGCTATTTTACCAAGAAAGGGAAAAGTTAAAAGCTATTTTACCAAGAAAGGGAGAGAGTTAAAAAGAATTAAAGGGGGCTGGTGATTGCCACGCGCTGCGCCTGCTCAGGCTGCACCACATTGGAGATCTGGGTGTTTCAAAGATGCTGAGATTTGGCAGTCCAGAGGTCCTGCACAGAGTGCAGTGGCGAAAGCCCTTGCACCCCAGCTGCAAATTTCCCTTCCAGATTTCGCCTGCCAGCGTGTCTTGTGCTTTGGTGTAGGTGACTTAAGTATTGAAAACTATGGGACAAGGGAAAGGCGAGGGACACCAGCAGTTGAGCAACAGGCTTTTCCATTAGGGAACAAACATTGTTGGGCGTGGGAAGTGCCGTTCCTTTCCGTCTAACCCTGCCCTCCATCTCCACGCCGCGTTTCTGGCTCTCATTTCTCTTGGCAGGAAATCCATTTTCTCATCACCCCGCTTGTCCCCCAGTCAGCGCAGCCTCCCTGCACCRCGACTCAGTTCCTTGTCCTCCCAGCACGCAGCGAGGCGCCTTCGCCCTCCGGCACGGGGCAGGACGTGGCCAAGATGCTGCTTTCAGACCCATCGTTCTGAAGGAAGAGAAAGGCGCCCTGGCCATCGCGGAGAAAGCAAGGAAGGTAAATATAATTCCTTTGCTCCTGTGCCAAGTTCTTCCCGGGAGACTTATGAACTTAAAAAAAACTCCTGGTCTTAAAAATAAGCACAGGAAGTTAGTGCAGAGCGCCCGCTCCTTGTCCATGCGCTTGGTGAAAGCTGGCTGCTCTCGCAGGGCTTATGGTAGGGACCAGATAAGCAGCTGGGTCCTCGCTTCTTCCTGCTCTCCCTCTCTTCTCCCWTCTCTAATCGGGTTTCCTCCAGCTCACCCTGAGGCGTCCTCAGTGACTCTGTGCTCAGAGCAGCCCTGGAGCTCTGGCAGTGGCAGCAGACGTGGCCTCTGGCACCTTCAGTGGGAGCTCGGACCCTCTGCTGCAGACAGGTGATGTGGCCCAGAGGCCACCCAGTTCAAGGGCTTTTCTGCCCCATTATCTGCTGTATCTGCAGGTGATGGAGCAGTTCCCGGACTGCCTGGACACCCTGCATGGAGCCCACGAGTCCAGTTGTGTTAGATACTCACCCCCAGGGCGAGTTTTAAGCATTGAGTTGCAGTCAAAAAGCTTGGCTCTGTTGCAGCTCTCTCTGATTGCTACATCCAGGCAGGGGCTTGTAGTTTGGCTTTGGCTGAATTGCTTTTACGATCTGCCCTTTTGTGATAGCCTCATAACTCTTTCTTTATTGTATTTATTTATTTTTAATTTACCTAACTTCCTAAATCTTCAAAAAATTGCAAGCCCACTCAAATCAAACTCTGCTGCAAGCAAAATTCCTCCCCCAGGCGAAGGGGGCCGAGGTGCTCAGCTCCTGCCACGCAAAGGCCAATGCAACAACTCGTGCAGACTTCAGCAGCGCGCTCYGGGTGCACTTCCACCCTGAATATTCCACTCTGAATGCTCTATTACCAGCTCTAATTTCTTTTTTTGCTAGTCCTTTGAAGCCCTCTTTGGGAAACCACCTTTGGTGTCCTGGACCACATGTCTTTGCTGGGTATGTGCTGATAACTTGCTTCCTGTCTTCTGTTTCCTCTTGCTTTTTGCTCTTTGGACCGTGCCTGCGGCTGGCCAGGCCCTGCCAGAGGCATCGCGGGGCTCGCTGGTGGGGACGGGCACATTCCTGGGCTCCCACAGCAGCAGGAGCAGGCGGCTGCCCTGACCTGCCCAGAGCAGGCTCCGAGGTTAGTGTTGGCTTGGGGGAGCTGGTGTGAATGTGTCCTTGGCCTTTCTGGGACATTGGAGCCAGGGCCAAGATCCCTTGTGCTCTCTCCAATTCCTCCAAGCCCTTCACTCCCTTCACTTGGATGCTCAAGGTGAGGCAATGTGGCTGGGGATACCTGGAAACCAACAGGCTCTTTAGAGAGGTAAAAGAGGGAGCAAGTATCATGTCGCATGCTGGCAAGATGCTGCATGTATTTTCAGCAGCTTTTCTCCCAGAATAAAATGTCAGTGATGTGCTTCTGTGCTCTGACTTTTTTTTTTTCCAAATTTATTTTGACTTACTTGCTTTTCAGAGGAATTGTATCTCAGCTCTTCTGCCAGGACACAGCACCAAAATGCAGCCCGTGCCCCTGCACAACCTCTCGGAGTTGGAAAGAGCCAGTCTGCAAGAGCTTGCTCTCTACCAGCTGCAGGAAAAGCTGCTGGTTGGAGATCTCAGCCTGGCTAAAGGTAGCTGATGGGAGAAAACAGCTTCTGCTGAGGGAGCCCATCATCCGGGTCATTACTGCAGCTCATCCGCACTGCCCCACTTCATAAAATGGATTGATATTTATGGGATGGTATTTGTGACACCTATTTATGACTTTGGTGACACCTGTTTATGACTTTGGGTTCATTCTGATGTTTTCTTCCCTCCTTTGGTCTGAGCCTCTAAGGTCTCATCAGCCTCCTGAAGGAGGCTTTGTGTGAGAGTAGGAGTGTGAGAGTGTGACCTTGCCAGTTGTCTGCTTTGAAGTCTCCTAATCCAAAACAGATGCGACAGGACTTGGTGAGGTCCTCCAGCACAGCCATCTTAATGCTCTTGGCCTGGGCTTTGTTTTGTGGATTAATGTTCAGCACAAAGTCCTGATGCTGAGATGAGATAGGGCTTATGTAAAGCTAGAAGACGTGCAACTGAAATTAATGGTCAGATAAATATAGAAGCTCCACAGGGACTGTGATCTTCTGTCTTGACCTATATAGAAATAAAACCGTTTTCTGGGTTCCCAGCTACCTCTGTCCCCTGTGATGACTGGGTTATGTGCTCAGATGTGCATCTAAGCCCACAAGAACAGCCAGCAAGGGACCGACTCACTCCTTCCAAACTGTGGTTATCACCCAAGAGTTGACAGGTGACCAGCTTCAGATGCCTCCTCCCTGGGCCACGGTTTGGTATTATGGCAGAGCAGAAGATGCCTCACTGTCTGTAGAGCTGCATGGTCTCAGCAGTGCTGGGCAAAGGGACCTCAAGGGTCCCCAGCCCCACCGCCTGCCCACAGCAAGGTGTCTCCAAGGTATCTCCAGCATTTGCCCCCTTTTTTTTTGGACAGGCCTCTTACAGCATTTAGGAGAAGAGAATCGCTGCGATGTTCTTCCTCAGTGCCTTGAGTTGCCCCTCCTGAGTCTGTGATGAAACTGCTGAGTTTTGCTGGTCTTTTGCTTCCTGATCTGAGTGTTTTATGGCTCCAGACTATATTCTGTCTTCTTGCTCTCTGACCATTTGAATGAAACAACGCATATCAGGCTGTGTAATAATTAACCTGTGTTGTTCTTTTATSGACATACTGTTCATATCAAATTTAATTGTTCTCTTCTAAGTCTTATTTAATAACCCAAACATTTATAGAAGCTGTGTCTAAGAAGAGAATTCCTTAGGATAAGGCACACAAGCTGGAATGGGATGATGCATCCCAGAAAGGGTTTAGAGTTAACRATGAATTTTCAGTTCATTGCTGTGACAAGAAGTGCTGACTAATGTCCTTGGCTGTACAGACTGGGGAATACTTAGGAGTGGGATGTGACTCTCCAGGACCAATGTGGGGATTTGGGATGGTTTGTATTTTGTCTAGCTTTRCTCGTGTGTGCTCTGTAAATCATTCACAGAATTTCTTCCAGGGCTGTATTGTTTTTTTCAGTAGTGAGGGCAGATTGCTGAGACTGAATTGAGTTCTTTCCAAGCCATTAAGTAATGCCTAGGACACCACCATTCACACAGGGTCATGTATAGCAAACATGGAAACAAAATATGAAAGTGGCCAGGACAGTTTTCAGCTACAGTCCTGACCATCTAAGATTTTCCTGCTGGCCTTTTGTATGTGAGAACCCATTTGGTGGCCGCTCTCCTCAGCTCAATCTTGCCTCCTGCCCACTGTGGTCTTCCAGGGCATGTCCCATACCCGGGCTACATTTGGCAGCAAATGCAGCAGCAGGAGCTTCCTCCAGCTGGGCGTAGGAAGCTGAAAGATCAGCTGTGGTTCCCTTTGATGCTGCTGAGTAAAGCCATTTAGTTTGTTGGGTGTCTGGTGGTGTCTGCTCATTCAGCCTAACTTGTGGTGGTTGCGCATGGCTGGATTACTCCTTCAGGCTTGTCTAGGAAGGTGGTAGTAAGGCACGGTTGGGGGGCTGGAGAGGTTGCTGGGGGTGTGGTGGGGAGATGAGATGGGATGTAGGTGATGGGAGGAGCGTCTCTCATGTCACATAAGAATGTGAGGGTGTTGGAGAGCTGTGGTATTAGGGGGAGACCTGCTGCCTGAGTGCTGGGATGAAGAGAGGTCCCCTGTCCTCCTCAGGATCTTTGGACAATGGCCAAGGTCCTGCTCCAGACACACAGCATCCCTGTGCCCAAGTGAGCTGCCTGTGACTGCTGAGGATGCAGGTCAAGTTTTGTGCTAAAGCAGATTGTCACATAATGTTTGGTTTTCTTTCTCTTTATAGTTGGTCCTAAAGGTAATAAATCTATCCGCCAGAAACTGGAGAGCTTTTCCAAGGAGAAGAAAGGTGAGCAGCTTCCCTTTTACCAAGATTTTGGACCCTTGATGGCAGAATTGGCAATATTTGATGGAGTTGAACCATCAGCTCCCAGTGCTAAATTCAATGATACATAATCCCATGCTCTTTTGCTTTTAGTGTGTGTGCATTGTAGTGGTATGTATACAGGCATTAGAGAGTGTATGGAGAGGATGCCTATGTGTGTCTGAATGCACTGATACATTCATATGGATGAACATGTACATAGGTATAAAYATTAATATCTACCTGTGTATTTCACCCTCAATCCTGCTGCTTTGGGCTCTGGTTTTATTGTCCCTTAAAGGTGTCARCCACAAACCTGGGGAAGAGAAAAGTGTAGAGCATGCTTGGGTGGGAATTAACAGTCACTGTTTTTCTTCATGTCATGTTTATTGATGCCATGATTATCAAAACTGTCACCTTTGAACAGACACAGCTGATGCAGGTTACGTTAGGACAAGCGTTTTGGGCAGCTGGCCTATACTACTGCAGCTTCCCCCTGGTTTTGCTGCCAGCAACACTCTTCCATTTGTCCTGTGCTTCTCCCCAGATGGCTCTCCTCAGACTTTCGGGATCCCCCTCTTCCAGGTCATTGACAATGATCGTGCGTACAAGCAACTGCAAGAAGAAGTGAAGAGCAGTCGCCGGCTCTGCTTGGAGGTGGAAGCCACAGTGATAAGATTCAGGGCTCAGATGCAGAAGAAGTCTCCGCCRGGCAAAAGCTGTGGGCTCGTCCCCTGCAGGGTGTTATCCGAGGAGCAGCTTTCTCCCACTTTTATTGACCACAGCTCCTGGAGCCACCGAAGGGTACAGTTAGAAACATGACCTAAACTGTGTGACAATCACATGGCACTGCAAGTTGGGGAAGACCCTGACTTCAGCAATTAGAATGCCTTTTTTTTTTTTTTTTTTTCCCAGGGTCTTGTCTCTTTTAACGTGAATTATTGATGCTGGGTTGGTCCCTCTCAATTGTCTGGGAAAGGGGATGGACAGGGTTGGATGGATATGAAGGGTGCAGCACTGTCTGCTCGCTCAGTCCTTAGCAAGGCTGAGAGCAAAGGAAAGCCACAGCTGCCAAGAACGACCTGGCTGTGGTGCCAGAAGTCATTGGAGATGGGTATAGATTCACAATCAGAAGTGTGGCTTTTTCTGCTCATCCACTGCATCAAGGCTTGACAAGCTGCATTGTGGACAGATGTGAATTCTCCATGGAACAAGCTGCCCCTTTGGCTAAATCCCATCAGAAGCTGTCGCCACTGAAGATGGGCCGTGTCATCTGCCTGGCCTCCCAACAGCCCGAGACCCTCATTACTGAGGCGACAACAACCATGTCTCTGACCTGCTGTGCTTCCACAGCTTTAGCAGCAAAGGAAGACAGTGCAGCTGGTTGGCCTTGGCCACCTTCTTCTTGGTCTTACTCTTGTTTTCTGTGGGGGAAGTGGGCAATAGCTCAGGTTTGGTTTGTCTCGTTGCTTTGGAGCAGAGGCTGCTGYAGCCTCATCTCTTGGGAGCCAGGCCCACTCTTTCTAGACCTCTCTGTTTGCCCGTTCAGGGGTGATGCTTGACTTGTGTGGTGGCAGCAGTGAATGGTKTAGGAAGATCTTATGGGATAGTTACTGCCACCCTGCAAACTGCTACTGTGCTTCATTTCAGGGGGCAATGTCCGTGGACTCCATCAGCGACCTGAGCGACAACACTTCCAAGCTGCTGGAGGCACTGCAGTTGTCCCATCCCCATGAGCTGGATCTGCGGAGAAGCCGGGGCAAGAAGATGTTGAGCCTCAATCCTATCACTTGGCAGGTCCCCAGGATTGTGGACAGATGTTGCCAACACATTGAAACGCATGGTAAAAAAACATTTATTTCCAGACAGACAGTCCCAGAATAGAGATGCTGTAAGTGCTCAGCTGGGATAATTAGGCCTTAATTTCTAGAGACCAGAGGAGGCAGCTGGTTTTAGGAGGAGATTGTGTTGCCATATCCTGTCCCGCAAGGAGATATGAGCTAGATACAACCTCTGGACGGAGAAGTAAATGTCAGCTATGCATATCAGTGACCCACTGCCACTGTGCTCTGTCCTTAGCTCTTCCATGAATTCAATTTGTAGCTCAAAGTGACTGTAAAGGTCACTCTTCTCTAACCTGAACATTATTAATCTCAGGTAAAACTCATGGCTCCTAAACTTTGATTTTTATCCTCTCTGCATGAAGCAGAGAAGGACAGGCTGCCCTACGTACAGCAAAACAGAACTGTTTCCATGATGCCAGCCTGCTTGGTGAGGGGCAGCTGGGGCTGTGCAGAGTTGTGTGCATGCAGAGCATTAATCTCTGTTTTCCAGGTCTCCAGACAGTGGGCATCTTCCGGGTTGGGAGTTCCAAGAAAAGAGTTCAGCAGGTAAAGTGAGACACTTATTGYACCAGTACAGCATTGAGAGAGCAGGGCAACGAGTAAAACAGATACTGGCATGCAGGGGTCTAAAATACTACAGACATGTCCTAAAGTACTGCCAGTCTGTAAACTGCTGCTCMGAGAGCACAAGGAGACACAGTGGTCTGGCTGACAGGTACTGGAGCCTTCACCCAGCCATAGAGAAGGCTTCATTCTGCTTTATGTCTCCAAACTGCCTTTAGCAGATAAGCCTATGTCCTCTGGTGGGCACTTCAGAGCTTCCTGTGGACTCTGAGCTCCTGGACCAGAGTACCAGGTCTGCTGGTCCTCATGGCAGCAGGCTGTCAGGCTCTGGCAGGTTTGCTTTCTCTGGACATCCCTGCATTGGACTGGTGCAGGCAGCCAGCCGGAGAGGTAGCCAGCCAGCTCAAGGACTGATTTACAGCTCCTATTAAGAGAAATAACTGCCTGTTGCTTTTATTCTTCCCATTTTCTCCATCTTCAAGCTGAGGGAAGAGTTTGACCARGGACTGGATGTCTTCTTGGACGAGCACCAAAGCGTTCATGACGTGGCTGCTCTGCTCAAAGAGTTTCTTCGTGACATGCCAGATTCCCTGATTCCCAGAGAGCTCTATGAAGCCTTTCTCAGCACAGCATGTAAGTACTCTGGATGTGCTGCTCATCTCTGCATAGCCTATCCACCGTTCTGGGYTTTGTAAGGAAAAAAAGATCTGTGAAGAAATTTAATTCTTGTGCAATTGCCTGKTTCAGTCCCTAGCCCCAGCATAAATCAGACTACTTTACACGAGAGCTCAGCCCAGCTGTGCTGTCCTTTGTCTGTTGGCACTATCTATAAGGGCAGCCTTGGAAAAGCTYTGCTCAGGTCTGCCTACCCTTCTCGTTACAGGTGAATGAGTTTTTAGGCTCTGCAACTCTCAACTCCCATCCTCAATCTTTCTTGTTCCCCTCATTGTCCTTTTGATTCCCTTTTTCCATCTTTATCACCTCAAATTTGCTTCCTCAGATTGACATACTGGCCAGAATCACATCCTTTCAGCTAAAGGGTAGGTCACAGTCCAGCTCCCTCCAGGTCTTACAGATTTAAACAGCCAAGTTGTATCCGAGGCTGTCTAGCTGGAAACGTGTAACAAGCAGGACGGGAACGGCACTGAATAACCGGCTCCTCTCTGCCTAGACATGGAGCGCCCGGCGCAGCTTGCCACGCTCCAGTTGCTGCTCTTCCTGCTGCCGCCGTGCCACAGCGACACGCTGCACCGGCTGCTGCGCTTCCTCGGCGAGGTGGCCCGGCATGCCGAGAGCTCCCGGGGCCCTGACGGCCAAGAGGTAAGGCTGGCCCTTACGTCAACTGTGTAAAGGAGGCGTTTCACTTGGGTCAAAAGCAAACAGGAGAAAAAAGAAATGTTCTAGGGCAAATCTCAGTGAAATGGGGGAAATAAAAAAAGAAAACTTCATAAAAAAGGGTTTTTTTTAGCATTTGTTTTTCCTCATCTGAAACAGTATACAACTCTTAGGAATTCCTAAAGGTTATTGAGCTGGATTTCCGTGCTCGTCCCACCCGCGTCAGTGGGAAGGAGAGTGTTTCACAAGCCCTTTGGCAGCTCTGACTTGTGTTTGTTCCTGTGGGTACTGCTCAGCCAGCTGGCAAAGAGGTTTTTTGGTGCATTTTCTCCGATGGGTTTAAGCAGAGGAAATATAACCCAAGATCCAGGCTGCTGTATCTCACACACCTGAAGCTACCCTGGTACATTTGGAGCTCTGGGAAAGGTCTATCACTGTGCTGAAGCTCTGGAGATATCCTACCCCATGGAGTCATGCATGGAGCGCATTTTCCACAACAAGTGGGGCCTTTCAGCGCACTGAGGAAATTATGTTCTTCAAAAGGACCAGCACAGCTTGCAGCCACTTCCAGCAATTTCATTTGTGAGATGAAGCTCCATTTCCCTAACAAACCAACAGGGCAAATGCCCTTAAACTCAAGATGAAAGAAGAGCAGGGATTGAAATTACAGTATCTGCCTGTGGTGCTGCAAATTGAAATTAGAGGGTCCAGATCAGCCTCTACTGAAGGCTGCCTGAGGCATTATTCTCACTTAAATTTTCTGGACCTGAACCAAAAAGCAGTTCACAGTAAGTTCTTCCTTAAATCAGAGGTCTTCTGCATAGACCAGAGCTCTTGGGTGCTAGGCTTTGTCCTAGCAATGAATGCCTCCCAGTGAGCCAAGCAAAGTTATTTGGGGCTTAGATTGTGCTTTTACAGTAACCTGGACAGGCAACATTTTAAAATGTTGAAGAAGAAAAAGGAGAAAAATAGCCATAAAACAAAAAGCAAATTTGTTGCTAAATCTCCTCCTCTATGCTGAGTCCTTTCTGATGCTTTCATCCAGCTAAGTGATTTTGTGGGTCAAAATAATCCCAGAGAGGCAGCACAAAGGGCATTTTTTGGGCCTAATTTCCTTTTTCCACTTCCAATTTTTATAAAGATTTCCTTATCATATGCTGAGGTTGATTTTGATTTATCTGGACAGTTAGAGCTCTGAGCTTCTGCATGGAGCAAAGGCTTTGTCCCATTTTATAAGATGATGTAGAAATGCTGGTTGTTACCTTCTGATAGGGGTTATGAAAGCAAGTTAGACAGCGAGGGAGGCCCAGATGCAAGGAAAGGCAGGGAGTGTGCTCCAGCACCACAAACCTTTCATGCTGGCCCTGCGGCCAGAGTGGATCCAGATCAATATCTCTTACGGAGTAGCTTTGTGCAGGCTGGAGGATCCAGAGATTTTTCATGTTACCTCATTTGTAATCTGCAATTTCTGTTTGTGCTTATTTGCTAGATACCTGGGAACAAAATGACAGTCTCAAACTTGGCCACAGTCTTTGCCCCCAACATCCTGCAGAGAGAGAAGCCTGGAGAGAAGGACTGTGGCGTCATGAATATTGAAGACAGCAGTGCTGTCATATTGGTGCTGCAGAGGTTGATCGAGCACCACCAGGCCTTGTTCATGGTAGGTGAGGTTTTCTCAGAACAGGCTTTTCCAGCCTCTTCTTCCCCTCTGAAACCTTTTCTAAAGGCAGCATGAAGAGGAATGGATTCATAGCCCCACTTAGTAGCAGGCAACTGGAGCTGCCTTGCAAAGATGTGATCCACCCCTCATGTCAAATGGAAATATTAATTGAGATAGCTTGGTTTTGGTCCATAAATGCTGGGTCATGCCATAAACATCTCCTCTCTCCWTCTCCCTAGAAGAAATATTCTGGATATGCAGAGTGTTTGCACTTGTGGCCCTGGTTTTGGGAGGGAACCTGGGAAATTCCAGGGAAGTATCAGAAATGGCCATTTCCTGTAGATGTATGAGAATGTGACATCTCAGGCCTCTGAAAAGCCTTGTAGTAGCTCCTCCATTTCAACAGGGAGACAAAGAGTATGGGACAAAGAGTAGGGTTAGTATGGGAAAAGCATGAGACGGGATCCTGTACAGACTCCTTGGGGGATGTGAGGCACTTGACACCARTATAAAATGCTTCTGAGTATTGATCTGGAGACGTTTTGGCCCTGCTTAACTGCCTTTGTTCCCTTTGCTTGTTTTCCCTYGGAGAGGGCATGTGTGTAGCTGTGGATCTTTCCTAGGTCTCTCCAGAAATGCAACAGGACATCTTAAGCAGACTCTTTCAGACAGACCCCGATGTCATTGATTACCTCTTGCGCAGGAAGTTTGATAACGTGCTGTAAGTCCTCCGTGAGACAATCATGAACTCCCCACCTAAAATCCTTCATTTTCTGTGAGAAAGCTAAAATATCCCAGATCCTCTCTGCTCCTTGGAGCTCCCCGTTCTCTGTGGCTCTCACCAGTCTGTGTCACACTCTCTCCTTCCCCCAAATCTGCCTTGCACAAGAATTCCTCATTTCATACACCTGTCTGTGCATGCATCTAAGCAACCCTTGTCCTGCTGTCCTCCTAGTCCTCTYCAGTGCCCAACTTCTCAGTCATACACCATTGCCTGCTCTACTTTCAGTTCTGTTACAGCCTCCAAATTTTCTTCTTTGCACTCTTGTGCACTTTCTGCTCCTTTTTTTTGTGCATCTGAATAGGCGTGGGAGTGTGCAATTGCCAGATATGTCCTGTATGCCTGCTTTTCGGCTGCAACACAAGATAGTCCTATGGAGACCCAGAATTTGAGCTCATGCCTTTCCCTGCAGGTCCAGAAGGTGAGTAAGAGGACTTGCATCCCACAAGCTGGTGTGGAGAGCTACCACTCCAAGCACGTGACAGAGGAGACGTTTTGATCCCTGTAACCTGTAGTGGCATCATAATCTTCACGGTGACTCTTTCATGGTCTTACACTGTAGAGCATCTGGTGGGAAATGATTTCTGAGATCATGGACTGATATCTCTGCCACTGCTCCCTGTGGCAGGACAGTGCTTGAGGAGAAGAGTCCCCTTCCATCCTTTTGGCACTGTGCTTTCCCGAGCGTGGTGCTCCAGCCAGATGCAGGTTGCACGTCTCGGCCCAGAGAACCACTTTTTTCCCACCTCTTCTGAAAAGTTTTCCAAGGACAAAAGGAAAAATGAGGCATTGAGTGAATTGCACCTCTTTAAAATGCAAATCAGTAATCATGTCTGATATCAAAACACTGGAGTTCTACCTTTTATAAAGGTGTGACTAGCTAATCTAACATACTACAGGACTAGATGTTTTGACAATGACTTTAACAAAGGCATAAGATGTGTATAAAGTAGAGAGACAAATGAGTTTTGTAACAAAGCAATCTCTATCTAAAAGACCATAAAGTCATCTATTTAATCTCATGCTCCTTTTGGGGGGAAAAAGGATGGAATAATTTCTCATTACATAAAAACATCTTGTGTGTTTAAAGATCAGTTCTATTTTTTACCTTTGAATGGTTGACACTATTTTAGAAACCTTTAATTTATTAAACAGTTATTGTCAGTACAAGTTACTTTTTATGAAAGAGACCTGCAAAAAGAAGAGGTATCAAATACACAAGCAAATACTGGGTCATTGTTTTGAATTCCATTTAAGTGTGATATTATCGTTCATAAGGAACTTGTCCTAATGAAGTTGAATTAGGTGCAGCCGTGCTTACTCCTGCCCTCTACAGTACTTTCTATAGTGACAGAGATCAGTCAATTGAATCCAAATACTTCATATCTACACATACAAGAATTTGGCTTCCTGCTAATATATTAATACATCTGGATGACAGCAAGATTTTTTTAGTCTTTTAGGTACTTTCCTGTTGAAGAAGCATGATTAATACTGGATAACATCAGTCTAAGCTCAAAGAGATGTCATTAATATTTCATTATTCAAGTTAAGAGACTTGAGGAAAATGTTTTCTATCATACTTTAGTAAAACTAATTCATACTGATTTTAATACCAAAGTGTTTCTCGTGTTGAACACAGACCTACAGCTTTGCTTTGATGTGACCGTTAAATGAGCTGCGGTGTTTGTATAACTTGATACAAAAGTAATAATTATCATAATTAATTGCTATATAGCTTGATTATCATTATAAGCAGAATACTGCCTTCTTATATAGTATCAAGGAAGTTTTACTTTTTTTGTGGAACTCTAGTCAGTCACACCATTATGATGAATAACAAAGTATATGCAGCCTTTGCTTTTCTTAAAAAAAAATAAAAAACAGGAAAATGTTACCATTCTATTTAAAGAAATGGCCTTGGTTATTATATGCTGCTAGATTTAGCTCTTTTGTGTTCAGTATTATGTTGTTTTAAAGAGTTATTGAAGTTAGTGTTTACACGTATATTTACCTTRTTTTCACATTTTCTGTACACTAAGCAGACTATCCTTCTAAAGCTTTTGTAAAGATATACTTTCTTTTACTTACCATAAAGTAGCTGAAAAGTTTTAAATAAACTTCCACTCCTTTATACTCCCCCACCACTTTTTTTTTTTTTTACTTTTGAGATCAAATTAGAGGGGATGGTCCTTTAGTAGCCTCCCATTTAATATCCTGAGTGGATTAAAGTAAGGAAAAACCCATCTAGCCCAGGCTTTACAAGACAGTTCTCAAAACATAAATATTTTTAGCAATTATAAAAATAAGACTTTATAAATGTTTAAATACACTATCAATAAAACATGTTATATTCTTAGAAGTTCATTTGGTACCATTATGGCTCCTGAGTTGATGTGGAATATTCTTAGTTCTGACCTTGTCTGCAGACACTATTTTTGCCATTCAGATCATCTCTCTCTCTAAATTACAGTGAAATGTTCAGATACCTTGAAACATAATTAAATATATGGGACACATCAGTACTCTGAAGGCAAATTTGTATTATCTCATTTTCTATGTTATCTTTACTCTTTTAATACAGTATGTGCATAAAAAAGTCAAATTGTCTTTGGGGGTCCTCTTGTGGTAATACTTAACTATTACACTTATAACTCTTGTGAATTTAGAAAAGCTTGACGTAGATCCATTTTCAAACATAATTTTCTGCAGTACGTGAAACTATGGAAAATGCAAATTGGTCTTAGGTGATAGTTGAAAATCATTGGGGGAAAAATAGGTAGATGTAAAGCGCTGCCAAACATTCAGGGTGTAAAGATATAAGCATATAAATTATACTGGTTTTGAAACTATAAAGGATAAAATTTAGTGTCGAGATAACATTATCTATTGCTGAAAATAAAACAGAAARCAAGACTAAAAGACCATGATTACAGTTTGAAGACTTGTCTTTTTACTTTTTTCACATACTATTCACCTGCTGCCACAGTACAAAATTACAGTATTTTCTGTAACAATTTAGTTGAAAAATACAAAACTTTCAGATTTTATGTGCTTGTAATGGGGGAGGTAAATATTACCATCTGCCAGGATTATGAATTTTCTACAGTGCTTTCTACTCGCCACCATAGTCAATACAAATAAGGTTGAAGTCATATAAACATATTATCATATACGGTATTTGAAATATAGACCTATAGCAGCCTGATATCACTGGGACTCCTGCTATGAATTAGAAAAGCCATACACTTTATCCAGATTAGTCTTTGTCAAAAGTGTGTTTGATGAACACACAATCAGTGAATCTTCCTAAATCTTGGCATTAGCTTCCGTAGTGAGGCAGCCTTCTTTTATGCACAACAGAATGAACGCACTGCTAAAATCAGTACCGTTGTTCAGTTCAGTAGCATGTCTCAATTAGCTTAGCATAGGACACTTTAATCCAAAACTAATCCAAAATATAGGATATTYAATGCATTATTTGACTATGAGCCTGAAGCTACTGTAAGTGCATTTTTGTAAGTGAAATATTTGCATCATGTGCATGTGATTTGAATGTAACTCTGGTCAAGTTCCATTTCTTTTAYAGTTTTTTAAAAATAGGTGAAAGAACAGATATGAATGACAATGGTGAAGAAAGAAGATGAAGAAGGAAGGTAGCCCAAAATGAGGTTGTAAGGAATGAGAATTGTATAAAACTCCATTAAGAGGCTTTGCTAGTCACTAAATCACCATTTTAAAAATAATGTTTCATGAATTGTCTTATTTGGAATCCTTCACCAAGGCTTAAGATAAATAGCACTGGCTGGGGGAAAAAAAAAAAAAAGTCTGTCATTCCTGTCATTCTTGTCCCTTRAACTTATGAAGGGTTTTTCATGTATCTACAGCGATCCTTTGATGCTCGAAAAGCCTTTGATTGTTGTTGTTCTGAAAGGCCTGTGTTGATGACTAAATTTTAAATGCTTAACTTCTCAGTGTATTTAGACAGAACCAGTATTTCATGGTAAATAAAAAAAAAAAAAAAAAAAAAAAAAAAAAAAAGGTTCATTTAAGGTAATAAATCCTAGGGATTTATCATTGGAAGTCAGAGCAACCCCTTCCATTCTGTGTGCTCAGAAGTAGTTTGCCTGCGTGTCAGCAACCTAATTTATTAACAAGAAAATAATTATGACCTGAAATGAACGCCAAAAACTTCAGACTGCTTTGTGTTAGAGCTGGACACAATCTCTCTAGGCTGATTGTTGTATTACTTTGACCTGAAGCATTTAAATGGCCCCAGTGCCATCTCCTTTTCTCATCCTTTAGAAAGCTTCTATTTTTCRTATTTGTGCAGAAAAACATGAAAACAGCATTAACAATGAATCTATAGAAAAAAAACTGCAGAAAGTGACATATATGTATGTTCTCTTTTGTAATCACAGTAGACTGCATAGGATACTTCAAGAAAATAATAGCRTTATAGGTGACACTCGTAATAAAAATAGAAATACTTTGGGTAATAATATTGGACAGGGAAAGAATTTGGATATTTGGACATGGAAAGAATAATTAAGCAGTGAAGTAAAAGTGAAATACTACAAAGGTACAGGAGATTAAGGCCACAATCAACAGTACCAACTTGATTCCAGTGGAGTGAAATCTTCCTTTATTGCTATCACTTGTTCCCATAGGGATCATTATAGCTGAAGATGACTATTTGTTCAAATCGTACTGTGATCTGATTTGCTTTTTAACTTAGCAGAGTTATTCTCCCAAACAACCTTATWAAAAATAAAGCACTCCTGGTTAGCAAAAGTACTCCCAACGTGAACAATTTGAGGAGAAAATGTCTATTTTACTTGAACTTCTTCATGATGAGTTAGGACTCCCTAATCTCTCAAGTGCTTTAATTTATACACAGATTTCGTGTCCCTGCTCCCTCTTCCTCTTTCAGTTCTCCTGGACACTCTGCCAACAGCAGGCAAGTCCTGGGACAGCCTGTTTAATGAGAACAGCAGGTTGTCAAGCTAAGTCATTAGATTGAATTGATCCTTCATTCTCCTCAAGAATTTGCTGAAAAGAGTATCCAAATCTGCTGAAAAGAGAATCAAACTCCTCCTCTTCAAGATACATCRCCTAGCAATCACAGTATTGAATTTACTTCAGTACTGTATCTAAATACAATAATCACACTAAACTGGTGAACGTATAATATAGAAAAATTAAGCAATTCTAAATCCTTCACACTAAAAATAAAAAAAAGTAATTTACAAGAAATCTTGCATATTCTTTTATAGTGTAAGAGCACATTAGAGATTGCCATGCAGCAAACAGAAGCTTGTATTTTCAGGGTTTGAAACTAAGAACCAATAGGAGGTATGAAAGCAGAGACTTAGTGATTTTAAGAGATTTGAAATTTCATGAGGAGGTGCATGATTTTGCCCCATTACTTGTATTTTAACATCACACATTTCTTTCAGAGAAATTGCAGCTATGATAATATATTGTGATTGTGAGTTTTGGTGTGATGGATAGCAATAGAACCTTCTCTACTTCTCTTAGTATTTATAATTCATATGAAAAATAAATACATCAGAAGAATTGCTAATGTTTGTGCAGGTCTAATGACAGCCTGAACAAGCAGCCTTCGTTCCAATGCACTTCCAGCTGTGACTGCAGCCTCACAGTTACAGCAGTTCTTTCAGATAGCTGGGACAAAATGGAAAAGCTTTTTTAAAAATTTATTTATTTTTACCTATAAATAAACTAAAAGCTCATAGAGCAACTTGTCTTTTTGGCGAAGTGAGATTGTTGAACAACAGCTCAGCTCTCCCGAGGAGGTCGAGTGAACCGCAGCAGCTTCCCAGGCCTGCTGGGCGGTGCTGCCATGTCGCAGCACACCTGAGGCAACCACTGCCAAGCACAAACCCGCCTTGCGGGTGCCACAGAGCCTCAGGTTTTGTCCCTGGGTGTGTTCATTGCAASTGCAGCAGCACGAGCAGTACAACAGAGACTCCTCATGGGAGCCACAGGGGTGACCCCAGGCCCGTTCCCAGCTCTGCCCACCTCTCCCTA